TGAAAGATACTCTTCTCTTTGAAGTTTTTCTTAGTTTCACACCTTCTGGTGTCCTGTCATATGCTCCCAGATGTTGATAATGTACCTGCCATGTACCTTATGATGATTCACTTCTCTTCCTACTTTTCTTTAGTCAAATTTCTGTGAGCTTTTTATTCATACAATGCATTGTGAAGTCATTGGGCTTTCACTTGATAGGAATGCATCATTTGCTTAGTATTATAGGTTTTCTCTACTCTTGTCTCATTAGCCCAAGACAAAGTAATACTATTTAGTGCTATAGCAATCATAACCATGAATGCAAATTTGAGCCCTAAAACTCTGTGGTAGTATCCTGTTTTCAAAGAGTTATTCAGATGAACCAGAACATATTACATTACTTTTTTGGGAGGATGTGGTAAAATATGTACATTATCTTCATCGAAGTGGTTTATCACTTGCTCTCTCCATATATATATATATATGTGTCAGACTTTACCAAATTGTACACCTAATTTAAAAAAAAAAGTCAGTACAGGCCAGGTGCAGTGGCTCACATCTGTAATCCCAGTACTATGGGAGGCTGAAATGGGAAGACTGCTTGAACTCAGGAGTTTGAGACCAGTCTGGGCAACATAGGGAAATCCTATCTCTATAAAAACTCAACAGAAAAAGAAAAGTCCATACAATTATGTGTCAATTACAAATTTAAAATATTTAAAGTCATTTGTCTTTTCCCCTCTTGTTCTGAGTACCCAGTGCTGTTTTCCAATGGTTAAATGACACAATGTCTTTATTACACCAGCTCCTGAGAGCTGATTGTGTACATATATTCCCAACTCTGTTTAGAGGTGTCATGTAGTTAGCTTGAACTCAGCCATGGTGAAGTATCTACACAGTGAAAATTAGCAAAATTGGGGTTTTTCATGAATAGCTGGTTAAACAATTAACAGCCCACCACTAGCTGTTTACATACATAAATAAAGACTCATGGCAGTCCTGTAATACATATATATTTTTGACATGGGGTCTCAGGTTGAACTCAAGGTTCTGGACTCAAGGGTTCCTCTGGCCTCGGTCTCTCGGATAACTAGGACTACGGATGCCTGCTACTGTGCCTGACATAGTCCTTCATTTTGTGTGTGTGTGTGTGTCTCACTCTGTCACCCAGGCTGGAGTGCAGTGGCATGATCTCAGCTCACTACAACCTCTGCCTCCCAAGCTCAGGCGATCCTCCCACCTCAGCCTCCTGAATAGCTGGGATCACAGGCATGCAACACCACACATAGCTGATTTTTTTTCTTTTTTTTGTAGAGACAGAGTTCACCACTTTGCCCAGGCTGGTCTTGAACTTCTGGACTCAAGCTATCCTCCCACCTCGGCCTCCCGAAGTGCTGGGATTATAGGCGTGAGCCACCGTGCCGGGCTTCAGTCCCTAATTTATTTTTAAAATTTTTAATTTATTTTTATTTTTTTGAGACAGTCTCACTCCATTGCCTAGGTTGGAGTGCAGTGGTGAGATCTTGGCTCACTGCAACCTCCGCCTCCCGTGTTCAAGCGATTCTCATGCCTCAGCCTCCAGGGTAGCTAGGACTATAGGCGTGCGCCACCACGCAAGGCTAATTTTTGTATTTTTAGTAGAGACAGGGTTTCGCTTTGTTGGCCAGGTCCTGGCCTGCCTCCGCTTCTCAAAGTGCTAGGATTATAGGCGTAAGCCACCACGCCAGGCTTCAGTCCTTAATTTTTAACTGTGTAAAAGAATTCTGAGACCAAAAAGTCTAAGAATCACTTGGTACAGTGATTCTTTATCTATGGAGCTAGAAAGTCTTACTAGGGGAGAAAGCAAAAAAAAAAAAAAAAAAAAGGGACTTTGGACTTGCAGACACTCAACCCTATGAAATCTTTTGCAGAGATTCATACTAAGTTGCCTTTACCAAATGCCACCACTGCCATTCTCCCATGGGGGTCATTGTTGACCTAGTCTTTCCCCAAAGACCAGGAGGGTCTGGGGTTGAATGATGAACTTCTTCTTAAATTTGAAGAGCCCAAAGGCTGTTAGGAAGGGAGGGGCTGCCACCTCCTCTAGCAAACACCAAAGATCTATCACCTTACGTCCTACTTGAGGACCAAAAATGGAACTTCAAGGTACTGCTAGGAAAAGAATGGCACCAGATCAAGTTTTCCAGATAATGGATTCCAACTCCAGCAAGTGGGATAAGAGGTTCATGACACAAATATATTTGTATTAGGTGACTCAATCACCAGGATACCAAGATCTGTTACTTTCACAAAGTGCTCTGAGGCAACATAAATATGGAAGGAACTTCAGAGCCAGCTCTTGCGCTCCAGGCTCCTTTTTAACTATTTAATGTGGTGTGGAAAATATCAGCTTGCTGAGGATTATCATCTCAATAGAGAGCTCCTTGGGAAAGAAAAGGCTGAAATTTTAAAAAAGGATCTTCATTAAAGAATAGGGAGTTGATTATGTTGCAGAATCATATCTTCTTGTTTTGTGACACGTTGGAAACATAAACTTCAGAGCTTTTTTGTCTCCACAGCACAGAGGTCTGATTGCTTCTGTTTAAAAATAGGGATCTGCTGACGGATTTCAGCCAACTTCTTAAGGTCTGTGTCTGAATACATGATTGTTTCTTCCTTGAGAGCCCTCCCCAGGCAACATAGGAGGCTTTGTCATCTGGGGCAGAAGACTGTGGCCACAACACCTGATTATCAAGAGCCTGAGGCAATTCCCAGTGGGCTGGTCCAGTGGTTGAAATGAAAGTCCCTGGATAAACCAACAGCTGGCAGCCTGTGCTTGTGCAAGCTCTGCAAACCAATGTCATAACAGATGCCCCAACCCATTCTGCAGTTCGGAGTATCAAATGGGGAGAAACTATTGCCGGGACTCAACATTCTGGATTCTTGAAATGTCATTTTTCCAGGAACACCAGTGTCAAGCAGATGGACCTTTCTATGCTTTACTAGTAAAGTTCCATGAGGTGCAAACACAGCACAGGTGTTATATGATTTCCCAGCATCCTCTTCAAGGATGGAACCTCTAGTGAGGCTGTATTCCTTTGCTACTTTAGAAAGCTTCTGTGTGGATTTACCAGGAATTTTCGCTGCATATTCAGGAAAATATTTTGTGCCATATGGAGAATTAAAGCATCCCAGCAAAGAAACTACTTTGGCTCCTTTTGTTGCTGTCTCCCGGACAAGGCTACAAGCTCGCGTGTTGTTATCTGATTTGATGAAGAAACTTGAAGCTGGACAAGGGCCAAGTCGAAAGTTGCCCTGGCTCTCCTGGGAAGCACCAGCAGCGGCACTGGCTCAGTGCAGGTGTCCCTGTATTACTTTTCTAAGTCACAGAAACATAAAAATGTTAATGGTAAAGTTATCCTAAAGCTTTTTTTTTTTTTTTTTGAGTCTTGCTGTGTTGCCTAGACTGGAGTTCAGTGGCACAATCTCGGCTCACTGCAACCTCCGCCTCCTGGGTTCAAGCGATTCTCTTGCCTCAGCCTCCAGAGTAGCTGGGACTACAGGTGTGCGCCACCACGCCCGGGTAATTTTTGTATTTTTAGTAGAGACGGGGTTTCACCATGTCGGCCAGGCTAATCTTGAACTCATGACCTCAGGTGATCCGCCAGCCTCCACCTCCCAAAGTGCTGGGATTACAGGCATGAGCCACAGCGCTGGCCTCCTAAGGAATTCTTAAGACTCTCCTCCCCCAGTACATCTGCTAACCTTAAGTGGAGAAACACGGATTTTCAGGACTGAATTGATGTGAGAGGTGAGGGAAAAGGAAAAATCCTGATACAACGACTCCACAATGTCTGGTCTGGGAGTGCTTGGTGATCCTATTAACTGAAATCAGAAAAAAAAAAGAAAAGAAAAGATACATTCAGGAGAAATGATGAGGTCAGTTTTGTTAAGTCTCAATTTGAGTTTCCTACAGTACATTCCCTTTCTGGTAGACTAAGCTGGAGGTGGAGATATTTGGTAGACAGCAACGTCTGTGAAACTGAGAATGTTGATGTGGCCATACAGGAAGAACATGCAAAGCTAAGAAAGAAGGGAAGTCAGTCGAGGAAAAACTGTCAACTGTTGGTGAATACAATTCCTGGAGAGTAGCAGTTAGCAAGAAGCAGAGTGGGGGATGGGGAGAGGAGAGGTAAGTAAGCTAAAAGAGGACAAAATTTAAGAAGAATGAAACGGGCAACGCAGATCAAGTAAGATAAAGACCTAAAAGAATTACTTGTGTTTGGTAATTAAGATATGCTAGTGATTTCACTCCACTGAAATTGCATAGTAAGTGAAATTTCAGTAGAGTGTGGGGGCAAAGTCTGATCACAGTGCGTCTAAGAGCAGAGAAGTAGTGAGGAAATTTCGTAGCTAATAATTCAAGACTGTTCTGCTTTGTTGTAAAAAACGTAGTTGGAGGGGACTGGACTTGAAAACAATGCAATAAACGCGAGGTGGGGAATTGAGGGAATTCATACTTCACACCGAATGGCCTCAATTTTCTTTGTACTATATGAGGTAAGGTCCTCTGTAGAGACTAAGAAGGGCAGAACTGGGGCAAATGACTTTGGAGGCGTGCTGAATGTTGGGAGAGGAAGCGGCCCAGGAAATAGGCAAAAGGAAAACTCAGAGGTGCCGAGGACCCGGTTGAGGGTGTTTATGAATTCAACGTAGCACCAAGCTCAAGGTTATGTGACTTTCTCTTCCAATTCTGCCCTGCGGCGTGTAAGACGCAGAAAATGCAGACGAAGGTTGACTTCTACTTAAATCTCTATCCCAAAAGCCCAGACGTACGGACTCGAAGGCCTGTGGCCAGATCGTGCGTGGGTGCCTACTACAGATTTATGAAAAGCACATAAGGGCCAGCGTGTTTGCCTTCTAAAGCGTACTGTTCCGTAGCGTCGGCATCCTCAGGCCTTCACGGAAATCGAACCATTTTTTACAAGGAGTGGGGATAAACCTGGTGATCGGATGAGGGACTACGCGTAACTTACTTTCTCTCCAGATCCATCCCGGAGGAGGCTGGGCGGGCGGACGGGCGGGCGGCTGCTCCGGTCCAGGGGTGGAGGTCGGGGCCCCGACCCGACGCAGCCAGGCGGAAGCGGGGCTGCCATTGGCCCAGAGGCTGCTTTTACCTGCGCGCGGCCCGGGGCGCAAAGTCCGAGGCGCCGGCGGGGAGGAGGCGGCGGCCGGCAGCGCAGGTGGGCTCGCGCCCTCGGCCCTGCAAGATGCCCCTGAGGCTACGGGGGAAGAAGAAGGCTAAGTCCAAGGAGACCGCCGGGCTGGTGAAGGGCGAGCCAACGGGCGCGGGCGGCGGGAGCCCCTCAGCGTCCCGGGCTCCCGCACGCAGGCTGGTCTTCCACGCGCAGCTGGCGCACGGGAGCGCCACGGGCCGAGTGGAGGGCTTCTCCAGCATCCAGGAGCTCTACGCCCAGATCGCGGGCGCGTTTGAGATTTCGCCGTCGGAGGTAAGGCGTCAGGTGCTCAGGCTCTCCCGCCTCTCCGCCGCGCCGCGCGGACTTTGGTGGGCCTAGGAGGGTTGAGCGGCGCTTCCCGGAGCGCGAAATCCGATGCCGTGTTGAGTCCGCCGGGGGCGTCCCAGGGGGAAGTGAGTGGGCCTTCCCGGGAAGGGAAAAGGTAAGTTGGCACGACCGGAGGACGTCACATTCCCCCTTGCTCCGAGATCTGGCCTTTGGGAAGCGGGTTGGGGGAGACAACCTTTCTTCCGCTTGCAAATGTGTTTGCTCCAGAAGTCCCGGATTCCGCCGGCCGTTCAAGGTGTGAGCACCTTCCCAGACTAGAGATGTGGCGGGGCAGGTTAATACCCTCCACTTCATCCGGACGTTACTCTCCTGTTTCCTCCGCAGGCGTGAGAGTCACGCAGGTCATCTCCCCAGATTAACGGGGAAAAAAAAATTGAAGTGCCTTCCAGGTGATACCCAGATTAAATGGGGGGAAAAATTGAAGAGCCTTCCAAGTAATATGAAACGGAGGCCCACTTTCCCCCAATCTGTCATTTCTAACATCAACACCAGAAACCCTTTGGTGGTATTTGCAAGAAGTTTAAAAAGCTGGGCTGTTATTCCAAGAGTGGATAACCTAGAGATTCATACTTAATCACATGGGACTAGTTAACAAAATTTTCATGAGGAAAATCAGCTCTTAGCTCTTTTACATCATATCCTTAAAACGGGACTGAAATTTGCTTTAATTAGATTGCATGCGGGCCTGGAACTAAGTTTGACACAGGCATGATGGAAAGCACTAGTTTATGCGAACGTTTATGTGACCACTTTATTTGTGCTAACCCAAGTGAACTGCAAAGGTAGGTGTGAGAAGTTAGCTCAACAAAATATTTTGTCCACATTTCTAGGAAAAGCATATAATTTTGTTGCCCTGGACTCTCAGGAGTGCAGAGAGCTGTCTTTGAGTGTTTATCAGGTCTGTTCAAGGGAAATCGAAGTCAAGGCAAAATTCCAAGAGGAGACGAAAGAGCTTAAAGTGTAACCCTTTGTTCTTTCGAAGTTCCCAGGTACTAAGGGGCAAATCGCAAACCCATCTGTGAATTATTTGTATTGATACAGGTTACTAATAATAATACTTTACATTTATATAGGATTTTTTTTTTCTTTCAAAAAACAGTTTCACAGGACACTTTCCTTTGATCTCTGGGGGAGTCAGGTGGCAGGTTAAACACGATAACTTGGACATGGACCCAGGTTCTACCATTTATGAGCTGTGTGGACTTGAATGAGTTTAACTTCTCTCAGTTTTAGCCATCTATAAAATAGAGATTAGAATACTTGTCTTGAAGAGTATTGTGAAGAGTGGAGTCTGTATGTAAACGTACCAGATTGCATAGTTTATGGTCAGGGCTTAATACATGGTAACTAAAATTATTAATACTTAACAGTTAAATGAAGGGCTGAAGTGCAAAGTGATTGGCCCTTAGCCAAGGTGACATACCTAGCAAGAAAAAAACTGGGCTGTAATTTAAACTTGGATCTTCTGATTCCTAAGCTAGTGAGCTTGTTAGTATACTTAACTGACAGCTTTAAATGTCTTTCCTGTAACCAGGGACTTCAGTTTTAGTTACAGATGGTCCTGGGTTTATGATAGTTAGACTTAAGATTTTTGACTTTGCCATGGATTTATTGGGATGTAACTTCCTGGACTTAAGATTTTTCCACTTTATGGGTTTATTGGGGTATTAAATGCATTTTCAACTTATGATATTTTAAACTCACAATGGATTTATTGGGACATAACACCTTGGTAAGTAGAAGAGTATCTGTATTTTGCATTAACACTTCTCCTCATCATTATATATGACATTATTCTGAGCTCAGGGTACATGATTTTATTCAATCTACTTAATCCCTAAGAAATAAGTATTATTATTAATATCCCCACTTTACAGAGAGGAAACAGACTTTGAGGTTCAGAATTTTTTCAAAATTACACGTAGCAAGTGGCAGAGCCTGGATTTGAACTCAGTGTATTCTTTTTTTTGTTTTCTGTTTTTCTTTTCTTTTCTTTTCTTTTTTAACGAGATAGGGTCTCATTCTGTTGCCCGGACTGGAGTGCAGTGGTGTGTTTGTAGCTCACTGCAGCTTCCAACTCCTAGGCTCAGGCAATCCTCCTGCTTCAACATCCCAAGTAGCTGGGACTACAGGCATGTGCCACCACATCTGGCTAATTAAAAAAACTTTTTTTTAGAGATGTGGTTTTTCTGCATTGCTCAGGGTGGTTTGAACTCCTACTCTCGAGTGATCCTCCTACCTCAGTCTCTTGAATAGCACAGACATGGAGCCATTGTGCCCATCTTTTTTTTTTTTCCCCTCCCATGAAGATATATTGTTTCCCAAGTTTTCCAGAGTCTCAGCAATAGTTTGGTAGCCCATGTTCAACATTTTCAGTGCACTGACTTGCAAGGTCAGTTTCCAAGATAATATACACGAGGTGTTTTCATGTGTTACATCAAGTTTATAACATTTTATAACTCCAGTATATATGTATTTTACCATGTTTATGCATGTAACCAACATTAATGCAAGTTTTCCATCTGGATAAAAAAAGTTAATTATATGCAGGATAAAGTATTGGTCATCATAGCATAGTATGCATAATATTTCAGTGGTTCACTTTGAAACAGAAGTAACTTATTAAAATGAAATGCACACCAAGGAGATTCCATTTTTGTAGCCCATTTCCTCAGCAAGCGATTACCTCAGCAATAATGATGTAAATAATTTTTTTGCTGATTTTTGTTTTTTGAGATGGAGTCTCATTCTGTCGCCCAGGCTAGAGTGCAGTGGCACAATCTTGGCTGACTGCACCCTCCACCTTGTGGGTTCAGGTGATTCTCCTGCCTCAGTCTACCTAATAGCTGGGATTACGCACCATCACGCCTGGCTAATTTTTGTATTTTTAGTAGAGATGGGTTTTACCATGTTGGCCAGTCTGGTCTTGAACTCCTGACCTCAGGTGATCTGCCCGCCTTGGCCTCCCAAAGTGCTAGGATTACAGGCATGAGCCAGTGCACCTGGCCTGGAATTGTGATTTTTAAGGTGAGATTTTATCTTCACAAGCATGCTATTATTTCTCATAAACAGACCAACCTTCTTTTGACACCTGTTGCCATCCCCTGTATTACCACCTCATTTCTCCTTTATAGCAAAACTCCTCAAAAGTTGGCTTCCCCTCTCACTTGGAACAAACCAAAATACTACGATGGGCTACGGGCTCTGTTACCTCTTCAAAGTCATTGCTTCTTCTGCTCCAGCCAGCCTGCTCCATCTCCTTGAATGCTGGAGCCTTAAGACTTTTGCTTTGGTTTTTGCCTCTGCCAGAACCTCTTCCTACAGAATGCCCTTCCTTAAGTCTGTTCAAATGTCATCTTCTTGGTGAGGCTAGCGCTGATCACCTCTAGGTACAGCACTCCCTATTCCCTTCTCTGCTTAATTTTTCTCCATAGCATACTATCCTATGTATATTTAACTGATTTTGTTTATGGTCTGCCCCCCTGCCCCAATAGAAGCTCCATAAAGGCAAGGATTTTTGTCTTTGTTTACTGATGTGGCCCTCAAGGGCCTAGACTGTGCCTGAAACATAGTTGGAGTTTAAAAAATATTTGTTGAATAAAAGGATCCTCACAAATTCAGTAGTTAAGACCCAGTGTCTTTAGCATAAAGCTTTAGTATTGGTTACAATACTAATATCTTATGTAGGTGTTAATTTTTTTTATGTTCTGCTATGAGGTAAGAGACTAGCCTTTAGGTGGGGGTAGTGAGGAACATCACTCGTATCTTTAAAATTTTTTGAAAATAAATGTCTATATTTAAGGTATACAACATGATGTTTTGATATAGTGAAATAATTATTACAGTCAAGCTAATTAATATATCCGTCTTAGAAATTATGAAGCTCGAGGCTCTGTTTGCAAGCAAAGTCACTTCCTAAATGAGTTACAGCATATGAGGAGCTGCTTCCTGAGGCTTCCGAGAAACTGCTTCCTTTTCTGAACTTGCTGACACTAGCACTGAGCTCTTTTGAAAGTCAATATTCTGTATTTATGTGGTACTTCTAGAAGACATGAAATGTTCTGCAGACTTTATCATTTCCCAGCAGTGCGAATAACTGGCAAGTGGAACTGTTATCTTTCTGGTTCACACATGGGAAACTGGGACTAATAGAGGAAAATAGGGTTTTACTGACTTGCATATAGCACCCCCTGCCCTGGAAAAACAAGTTACAAAAATCTACAAAAAATGAAATAATTGGGAATTGGGCATGAATATTACTATTGAGATCTGAGGAATATGAAGTAAGCCCATCAAAATTGAGTAGAAAAAGTGTGAGAAGCAGTCCCTGACATCTGATAGCGGCCTTGGCACTTGCAGGAAAGCCTTGGCGTTCTGTTGCACATAAACAATTGCACAGAATGTCAACAGCAGATAAGATTGCTCTGACTGTGGTAATTTCTCCTACTTTACAGATAGGTTTACTAAGATTCCTGGTCATAGAATTGCACCCACTTCCTGACAGCACCCTATCCAGAACAAACCCATGCTTTGGACCCTCTCCCAAATCACCTAACACAAGCCCACATCCTTTCTACTGTTTCTTTCTGAAACCCCCAGAATCTCCCATAGAGTGCTGTCACCCTCCTCGCAAGGAGGAATAAACTGCAGGCGAGAATTCCTGGTGGTCTTTGCCTGGAAGGTATTGACAGTTATCACTTGTCACTGTTGGGTTATTACAGTGCAGATTCTAAAGAGGCAGCCTTAATTTGGTTTCCCTGACTCCTCTCATCCTCTTTTAGTCTTTTAATGCTGTGATCATACCAGTCTAATCTTAGCACTTTTGGAGGCTGAGAATTGAGAATCCTTGAAGCCAGGAGTTTGATTGACAACAGCCTGGGCAATGTAGTGATACCCTGTCTCTAAAAAAAAAAAAAAAAAAAAAA